TGTGTGTGTGTGTGTGTGTGTGTGTGTGTGTGTGTGTGTGTGTGTGTATTAGATGCACAGCAGCCCCCTCACAGAGGGTCCTGGCAAAAGAGAGACGCCCTGTCAAAGCCCGGACGTCAGCCGGCGGGACGGCCTCAACTTCTGCCCATCGCCCGACTCTGAGGACCCCACTGATGCTGTAATACACTCACACATGTACACAGAGACACTCACACATGTACACAGAGACACTCACTATCAGCTGAGAGTTAACAAGCTAATTAACACTAAATGTTAAAACTATTGAATCCTTTAAAAGGTGCCTTAAATATGCACTTGATTGCCAAAAGACTGAGGCCACAGCTGACGCACCAAGGCACCCTTTAGTGTCTTTGTGAGACACACCAGACTTTCAACTAACTAACCTTTTTTACATAAGTGTGTGAGTTTGTCCATCAGTGCATATAACCGCGCCAATATATCACTCAGGACTCCAGTGCCCAGTGCATTGTGGGTAGCCCTCCCTACCTCCTCAACCTCCAGATCATCGGAGCAGAAGACGACTACTTTGACTCTCAGCAAGAACAGGTATCTAAAGAAATGTCGCTAACCCACTGCTGGAAAAGAAGTTACGTCATCTATATGAACATTAAATGTGAAACAATTGGCATGTTCCACATTTTCATGTAATTCAGACTGCTGATGTGGACTTTCAGGAGTCTGTGGTATTGATCCCTGTTTCTCTCTCTGTCAGATTAATGGACTGTGCAGCTGTTTCCAGAGTATAGACGTGCTGAAGTCTCGGCCGGCTCACCTCGCAGCCTTCCTCCATCATGTTGTCTCGCAGTTTGACCCGGCACCTTTGGTACATATGCAAACACACACACAACACATACTAAGGTATAATAATACTCATGTTGTTAATCTGACTATTACTGATTATGTGGGTTTATACTAATGGCAAAATTCCCAAATATCACATTCTTATACTACACTGATTGTTTTCGTACTTCTTTAACAGGAAGACATGGAATTGTTTTGTTGTTCCAGTGTACCAAAGTTGTGCAAACTTTGCATGTTTTTAAAGGATAATACTGGTGATATTGCATATTTTATTGTCAACAAATTCCATGAAGAAACCACAAATCATCCGACAATACACTCAACCCTGAAGTCCATTCTTTTCTACTGATGTAAACCTCCGAAAAAAGGTTTCAAATGCAAAAGAAGCACAATCATTCATTTGTTGAGACTTTTTTAATCTGCATATTAATACACAGTGTTTACAGCAGTAGTAATGTGTATATGTGTAACTGGCTCAAAATAAACTACAGTGGCTATCAAAGAACATGTCACTTAATGTGTCTTTAATAGTTTTCGGCCAACAGTTGAGGTCTACGGCTAAACAGAGTGCTGCACGAATGACGTTATTTTTGTCGGCCAACAGGAAGCTAGCATCGAATCGACAAATTTAAATATTGGCAGCATTACACTTTTGATAAAGTTTAAATATATAAAGTCGGAGAACAGAAAACTGTACAGAAGTGAAGTAATTAACTGGACAAAGCTTGAGAAGCAAAGCTCTGCAGATAACGAAAATTATATTTCAGTTGTTAGCTACATCCAGTGGCTTCAAACTATAAGGGCAGCATGTCGATACAAAGCATATTTAATACTATATTTTACAATATATATTCATTATAGGTTTGCCGTTTGACTGAAGGTCCATCTGAGTGCCATTTAGTGTGTACAAAGTGTAATCAGCAGTGAAATCACAGTAAATTTTGTCCAATTATAAAAGTGCTTTGCAGCACAGACCTTGACATACACAACGGTGTATTGGAGTATTAGTATAATGACATTAAAAGCTGTGTTCAAATAATATTTAATATGAATGAAAGTGTGCCAAGGATTGATCCCTGTGGAATGCCTTCACTGTTCTGATGAAAGCTTGACTGGCAGTAAAGACTTACAATAATCTTGAACTAATATTCTAAATGAGATGAAGAACTGCACATTGACAGTATTATGGAGCTTTTTCTGTCCTTTTCCCTCTGTTAGCTCTGTTATCTCTACGCTGACGTGCACAAGCAAACCAGCTCCAAAGAAAGTCGACGCTTCTTCATAGAGTTCCACTCGCTCTTTATGGATCGAACAGCTGTGAGTTATTTTCTTGTTCAGTTTCTGTTCTCTCACACCAAGTTTCTAGCTTATTGAATATTTTGTATATTTGCTCATTTAACTTTGGTTGTCCTTCCCAGAATCTTAAAGTACCAGTGCCAGAGGCAGTGTCAGCTGAATTGGGTAAGGGATGGAAAGACACTAAAATATATAACAGATTTCTTCAAAGAACTGACTTGAAAAGCCATAAAAATATTGTATTTGATCATTTAAAATAACTATTATTAGGCCACGGATCACAAAAGTTTAAAAACAGAGTCTTTGATCGGCTTTAACTGAACTAACGGACAGCAGAAACACAGAATTCAACAACAATGACAAAGAAAAAGTCAAGATATAGTCGCTGTGTTTCAGATCAAGATATCTCTACTGACTCTCTGGGAGTCAGTCAAGTAGTTCCAATATTTCTTGGTGTCTCTGCGCAGAGAAGCGGAGGCTGGAGTTGATCCCAGAGGAGCTCTGTAAACAGTACACCCAGATGTTACAGGACACACTGCTACCACACCTGCACAGGAACCTGGAGGACTTCAGGTAACAGTCACACAAAAGAAAACACTCAAGTAAAATACATTGTTACTAATTGGACAATAATGAACCTATCCTGTCACAGGTTAGGGGTAAGAAGCTAATAATATCTATATGTGTGTTATTCATGTTATTGTGTGTGCAGACAGAAGCGCAGCATGGGTCTGACTCTGGCCGAAGACGAGCTGTCCAAGCTGGACTCGGAGGGAGGAAAAGACCCCCAGGGCCTGGAGAAGGAATGCTCCTGTGCTGAACACATCCTCTCCAAGATCGATGATATCCTGTGAGCGCACACACACACACACACACACACACACACAGTGTATTCAACTCCTTGTATTATTGTCTGCTAACCCTGAGCTGCCTGTTGCAGGGTCACGTCACATCCCGGAGAAGAGGAGAAGTGGTAAGAGGAGGGAGCTTTTGTTTACATGTTATATCATCCATCAGCTTCAATGCATCTGCAGCTCTATCTATTTATATCTGCTTTTAGTTTCTCTTCCGGTATTTTCCTGTTGAACTAGTTATTTCTTTAAATCAATCTGGATTAAAAGGTCTTCACAGTGCTTATTTTTTATCTAATTTACACTAAATTACATGGAAAAACCTCAAAAGACGACAGCAGCTTGAGTCTCACCAGCTAAAGTATTTTAAGTTTTTAGGATTTTTAAAATGTACTTGTATGGTAAAGAATTTTTCCGTTGAACCACTACAGATTTGTAAATATTACCACACAGTTAATCACTTTTTTCTTGACTCATGTTGCAGCCAAACAATGCAGTATGTGATTCTCACCTATATGAAGCACCTCGGGGTGAAAATGAAGGAGCCTCGAGGCCTCGAGCACAAACGAGCGCGCATCAATTTCCTGCCCAAGATTAAGGTTCGTTCTCTTCTTCAGAAACAAGCAGAAGTATTATTTTATTTTAATGCCCACATGTACAAGAAGAAGCATTAGCACACATGCTTTTAATGGTCCCACAGTTAATAACCGTTGTTTTTAACGAGCAGAAGAGTATCAAGCCTGAGAAGGACGGAGAGGAGAAGGTGAGAAAGCCTCGGTTTCCCAACATCCTCGGCCCGCCTCGGCGTCTGAGCAGAGTGGACTCCACTTCAGGTGAGAACACTTTAAAGGAAGACTTCACCCACAAAACCACCATTTGTATGTCAGTAACTCTTCAAGAGTTTCCTTGAATCCTTGAAGAGAACATTGTTTTTTGCTGTTTTTGGGGTCTTGCTCAAGGACACATGTGTAAGAGCCGGAGCCGAGTATCGAACCACCGATCCCCTGATTGAAGGACGTTTCTGTTTTTCTGGAATATATTGTAACATGGAGTTTTTGATTACTTTTGGATATTGTATTTGTACCTCCAATAATACAAATACCTATGAAAAAAAAAAAAGAATTCAAGGTTACACGGGGTGAGTTTATTGATATACAAATGGTCGTTTTGTGAGTGAATTATTCCTTTAACTTTTGACTTTACTGTTTCAACTGCTGTAAAAATACTTCTATACATACAGAGGTGTATTTGTGTAAATCTGAGTGTATACATATATATAGATGTCACCAGTGTTTGTAAATCTACTGAGAAAATGTTTTTTCAGTCGGGAAAGCCGTGGAGCTGAACAAGCAGCGTTCACCGAAGCAGCTCTCTCATCCAGTCGTCGGCATCCCCGAGCAGCCCGACTCCTCTGCCTCGAGTTCGGGACGGCTCCGTGGGAACCAGCTCAGCGAGGGATCGGACGGCGGCACACAGTCTTTGCCTTCCACCGGCAGCAGCAGCACCTCCCCCACACACAGCTCGCCCACCGGTCAGGCCTCAGATACCAGCGGGCAAGACTCAGACTCTAGTAAGAGATACCTGCATCATAATGTACTAAATGAACATCATGCTGTATTGAAGAAGACTTGAAACTAGAGATTAAGACCATAAACTCATGTTTACAATGTTTACTGAGGTAATAAATCAAGAGAGAAGTAGAGTCATTTTCTCATAGACTTCTATACAACCAGAGGAGTCGTCCCCTGGTGGACACTAGACAGAATGCAGCTTTAACACATGAAGCATCGGCTTCACTTTTCAGACCCAGAGGTTGCCTCCTGGCGGCACTACAGCAATATCAAAGGACAAATCATTAATGCCATTAGTTTTGGTGCCACTAGAATAAGAATATTCTCTATGTTTGTTCAGTCAGTCACGTATTTGAATATCAAAGGTTCTTTTAAGAGTGAACCAAAGACTAAAATGGAGATTGGACATTTTTTCATCGACTCTTGAACACCATTATTTAGACGTGACTCTCTTTACGTCCTCTGTGTTGCGCTGCTCTCCTCTTCACAGATGTGTCTCCGTTCTGCGTCCAGCCCAGACTGGGTGAGGGTCTGCAGCCTGGAGACCACCAGGACGCCGTCTCCAGTCCGACCAGCACTCAGTTTGACTTCAGCCCCACCAACCTGGAGCAGCTACAGGAGGAAGATCAGGAGGCTTTCAGGTATTTACAGGATTTGGATTTTCTCTAAAGGTTGTTTTCTTCATGCTGGTCAATTTTGAGATGTTTTGGCTATTTTGCTTCCATGTCTTCTTTCAGACCAGTGGAAATATTTATTTTACTACTTTGTCTGGACACAAGATGATGTCTTCACGTCGCTTGTTTTGTCAACAGTCTATATTCTAAAGATGTTCATCTTACGGTCACATAAAAGAAGCTGGAACCAGATGGAATTCTTGCTTGAAAAATGACTCAAATAATTTATCGATTATGAAAGTAGTTGCAGATGAATGAATCATTTCAGGTCTACTTTAATTGTTGTCACAGAAGGAGAAAATGCGGCATGAATTTTGTCAAATTAAGTAATGATAAAGCATATATATAATGATTATTCTTCCACTCATTTGGACTGTTTAGTGTAATAAATAAAGATGAGCCTCTCTCCCTCTGTCCTCTGACCGACAGCAGGATGGAGCTGCAGTGTCCGGTGAGTTCGGCCGACGTCCAGAGTGAAGACGACCAGGCGGGTGAGATGGAGTGTGAAGAAAACCCTGTGAACTGGCAGAGTCTGGTCAGTCGAGGCGTCCTGGCGAGCTTAACGCCGCAAGAGATCAAACGGCAGGAAGTCATCAACGGTGAGTCGTCCAACGGATTGGACGTGGAAAAATGATAAGATACAAAAATACACAGCGTGTCTTACATGCGTGTTCCACCTCTCAGAGCTGTTCTACACGGAGCGGGCTCACCTGCGGATGCTGAAGGTGTTGGACTGTGTTTTCTACCAGCGGCTGAACAGAGACGGCGTCCTCCCCCCCGAGGACCTCAAGCACATCTTCAGTAACCTGGAGGAGATCATCCAGCTGCATGGTAACCTCACAGATTCCATTCACTAAATATGTATTTGCAACCCTATAAATGTAAAACATCTTTTGACTTTTAGCTGCCTGTTGTTATTGTTGTTATTATTATTATTTTAAGAGCTACAGAGTTTGTTCTTAAATTCACAACAGCTTCAACAATTCAGCTAAAACTGGCATTAAAAAAATATAATTTTTTTTTCCTTTTTTTCCGCCAGCAAATTTATTTTAAAATCTTTTTTTCTTTTTTTGGGGGGTGGTCACAAAAAAAACTTGTTTTCTTGTTTCTTGTTTTTTTTGGCTTGCGGAAATGTGTTTCCCTAGCTTCCATAGTATCTGGATATCCTAAATATATAAGGAAAAACAAGTGTTGATACAAAGTGTAAACACACGCTGAAGAATAATATCAGTGTTAAATTTAAATGAAAGCTGGATCCTGTCAGAGCTTTGACTGAATGGCCTAATGTAGCAGGATTAGGCTCAATTTAAAAAATATATTATATTGTGTACATGGCAAAATTATGTCTGTGATGCATAACCGAATATTACACTTATTTTGTTCATATTATTTCAAATGTTATTTGATATATTGTTGTCGATGAATAAATATTTTTTTAGTGGTAAGAAAAGATTTTAAAACATAAGCAGAGGAAAACATGAAGAACAATCATCTGATTTATGAAGAAGAAGAAGCTGAATGTTGTATTTTATAACTTTGCTTCACAGTTTCTGTGACGGAGCAAATGACAGCAATCAGGAAGAGGAGCGAGACGTCTGTCATCGGTCAGATCGCAGATGATCTGCTGTCATGGGTAAGACCGGATATTCAATGCATGCAGGAGGCAGATTAAGAGCTTCAGCACGGAGTGAAGGGAAATGTTTGCAAGTGAGGACTACAAGTCCTCACAAATAACAATAGGATTCATTAGGCACTGCTGTTTAGAACTAAATGCTTTGTCAAAGGTTTACAGACAAGGGGAGGGAGAGGTTTGAGGGAGTTTGAAGTTTGCATCAACAGTCTTACTATAATGTTTTATTTTATCGTTATTGTATTTGTTAATGCTGTGTTTGTGTGTTGATTCCAGTTCAGCGGGGAGGAAGAGGAGAAGATAAAACGAGCAGTGGGAACTTTCTGCAGCAACCAGCCGTCTGCACTGGAGCTCATCAAGAGCCGGCAGAAGAAAGACCAGCGGTTCACCTTATTCATGCAGGTAAATACAGGAAACACAGTTATTCATGCAGGTAAATACAGGAAACACACAGTTATTCAT